GGTATATAAATAATTTGCTTATTAAAACATTTAACACACACACACACACACAAATGAACACGCAGAAAATTAATTACAAAAACATAAAAATTATAGAACCACTATGAAAATTGAAATGAGTAATCATAACAGAAACTAACGGCAAAAGAAAAAAGAAATCTAAATAGTAGTTATATACAGACATACACACATATATATGTATTTACATATATAAAAGGATCTAAAATAATAAAAAAAAATATTTAAAACAAACACTTGTTTTCATTACAAAATGACTGAAAAACGTTTGTTGTTGCTCTGGGAAAAGCGACCACGGGAAAGGACCCGTATTTTTATCCTCCCAATAACTGTCAACTCGCCGGAATTCTGCCACTACAACGACAACAACATAATTTTAGTTAACCTCAACACTTATCGATCCAAACGAGGTTGGATTTCTCTTGTTCCCACGACAAATGGGTCAACATAATACTAAACTGGAACTGACCCGGATTTTTTTCCGGTCAAGGGCTCTCAACTCTGCGGAGTTTTGTCAACAACAACAACAATAACAAGTTAAATTTCCAAAAGTACAGCTCTTGTCCGGACAAACCCCGGGTTAATTCCGATAATGTAGAACCGACTCTTGCGGGAATTTGCTGATGAYGAGCGAGTTGCCGCGATAATAGAGAGTGACCCTTGCGCAGCATCATATCAAATRTATGTCCAGCCTRCAACGAGTYCCCGGATGATAMTAACCCCCTCTCCCAAAGGTCCGAACGCGTCGAAACAACTTGCTGGATCTACCGTTGGATGATCTAAATGACAACTACAACTTATCTGACCCTTACCATTCGAGAGAACTAGTTAATTGAAACTAAATTAAAGAAACACTATTTGGCTGCTAAAAAAATTTCAGTTTAACGTTTCCACAACTAGCAAATGATAATAAATGGAGACGGTCACTTCTCTCTTCTGCCGACAAGAATTAAGATATGCCAGCACGATTCTTAGGCTTATGCTTATTAATTGGTAGCTCAATATCACATTGCTTAAAAAAATAATATCGACTTCTTGATCAGTCGCGTTAATCCCGAAAGAGTACCTTTAGAAAGACACTACAATCAAKGGTTTGTACGAAGATATCTGTTAATCGAAATTTAGGGATCTTTACAAGCATCCACAGTCAAAATGAAAAAATTGTTTGCATTTTTGAAAGGCGCCTAAAAGCWTGCACCTCAGGCTACACCTCATATGTATGTACCATATATGCTATTATGCAGATAATGATTGAGGTTTTGCACTGCGACCTATGCTCTATTCTGTCCTTTCCTATATCACATGTGGTCACAAAGGTTCGACACTCTGAATATATTCAGGAGCTTGGTGGGATCGAATGAGGTGATGTGATCGCTGTCCTCGTAGTTTGGTCTTAAATCAGGTGTTCTGATGTTTCCTGTTTCATGTCGTAAAACCGACAGTTTTCGTAAGAGACTATGCCCATGTTGGACCAATGTTTCTTGAGCCTGCATTGCCCTGTATAAAGCGCGACAAGGATACCCAATTTTTCTCGTGGGAGGTTGATTATATCTCTAAACCTTGCTAGGTTGCACGTTGCCAGTGCCGTTCTCTCCCCACTCTCTCCTCCGTGCTGTTAGGGGCATAATTAAAAACGAAATGTATTTTTTTCTTACATAACAATTTAAAAGCAAGATTTAAATTTCCTTATAGCACTTTTTATTTGAACGTATAATGGCTGTGTATTTATGCTTACATTGTCGAAATGGTATAATTTCAATTAGTTTTCTTATTAATAAAAAAATATAATTAACTTGAGAATAAAAGGATGCTATGCTGGGCATATACTTATGTAAATACAATATTTCATCAAACAAAAAACTTTCATTAGCATACAAGTGAATGGTATTTTTACAACTTTATGTTTAGTCTGAAAAACTGTTTTCGAATAAGAGAACACAACAAGCAGTAAAAATCACAAACTGTAAAAAAATAAAAATATTACTGTACTAACCGAGTGCTAACTGTTAATTTTCAGCAACTTAATGTGTTACCTTTTAGGCTACAATGCACTTTAGCTGCTATTTGAGAACTATAATAATTAGATATTTTTTGTTAAATTATACATTTTTCAAGTTATAGGTGCTAGTATGTTTTGCTTAGATTACTTATGTAACAACCATCGCCTTAGGTGTCTATGTACAGTAGATGGGGCACGAACGGCCGCCATGATTGTGTATATGGGTGCGAAATGGTGAAGCCAAACACCATTCATACCAGATTTTCTGTTTYGTAACACAACGCCAAAAATGAATTTCAATCGTTTGACCTTTCTTCACATCCATGGGTTCCTGAGACATTGCAAATAATTAGCATAACATTTAYTTAACTATAAATCAATAACAACTCACCGCGAAGGGGAAGTACATTGGAAACCACGAAAACATGCCAGGCGTATGCGTTTGCGGATTAATACTCAACTGAATACCCTTATAGAGCGTTGTGTCGAAGTAGCCCGCAATGCCCGTGAGCACACAATCTATTGTCACTTCGAAACGTAAAGCTTTAAAGCGGCTATTGTCAATGGGCTTCTGCGGATTCGGATGTACGAATTCAAATAACGATTGTGGCAAACCGATATTGAAAATATTTTTAAGTAACACAACAAAACCGCTTTCAGCATGCGTATGGTAGGTGGCTTGCTTTTGACGGCCGTGCATCTCGTGACGCAATACTTGGCGTACACCATTTAGCAGTTTCGAAGACATTATCGGGTTTATGTATGAGGTAGATTTACAGGGAATGCTTATGCCATCGGCTTTGAGTAACTTTTGTGCACAATCTAAGCACTCTGGTGATAGTTCATTATCACCAAAGGAGCCTAACAATTCGGATACTAGAATATCGGCTGGTTCGGGTGGTGAGAATTCACGCATATCCTTGGAGAAGATATGTACATCTAAATATAAAAATAGTGTGTAGTGTGGTGAATTTTTATTAATAAAATTGCTTACCTTTATGGCTCCATAATTTTTTCGCTATGGCTGTAAGTGTGCGTATTGCATTGGGATTTTTCTCTATAATGTAGACGCGCACTTTACGACCGGTATTTTCTGCTGCATTTAGTGCTGAACGCACAAGTGGACCACGACCTGCCCCCAGCACCATAATAACTGTCTGTAGATGATGTTTGTAATCACAACTAATTTGATTTGTTTAATTAAGCAGTATATTACCAAKTTGTGTTTCTTTTCCGAATCGGCAACGCGGTCAAGTAGCGCCTGTTCGATAGCGTCTTGGTAAAGCTTATATTTAGCCGGATCTTTTTCGAATACCTCATACGTATAGCAGTCCAAATTGTCATATAAAGGTTGTAGTGGCTCTTCCAGCACATCTTCGAAACTAAAAAAATACATTTAGTTTATTGTTTTAGTTAAAGGTATAGTATAGAATAAACTTACGCTTGCAACTCGTGTGTATCTGCGTGTATTTCTTGGAAACGTAGCATGTACTCTGCGTATAGTTTCAGACTGTTATCATGTACATCGGAAGAAATAATAACATTAATGCGTGCACGCATAAAATATGACAAAATTTCTTGCCACGCCTTTGGCAGTACGGGATAGTTTTGCCGATTACAAATGAACATGGTTGAGGGCACTATAATTGCTTCGACTGGCTCTCCCAACCAACGTCGCACTACCTCTAAGGATGGTCGGTCACTTTCGCTTAGTTCGAGCACAACCTTAATTTTAGGATTAAAATCGGCCGCCCATCTAAAGTTGTTCCACCAATGCCATGTATCTTGTTCACCAATACGTTCCAATTCTTCWTCATCAATATCACGTCGCCAGGAAGCTTGGGCTTCTTTTGAATTATACAGAGGTACTTGTACGAGCAGCAGTCCTATGCACAGCATGTACAGTTAGTATTCTGGGTGCGTCACTATATTAATAACTTACCCTTCACATTGCTTGATGCAATGCGTGCCATATTAAGATTTCGTTCGGATCTTAAACGTAACATTGTATAACCACCATATTGTAAATGTTCCGCCCATGAAATATCACGTTTTAACACTTCTTCAGCATTACGGCGCACAACCAAATCTTCAGCATCACATTCTATGGTGTCTGAGAGTACATTTATTACTTTTCCATTCCAATGGTCGGACGGGAATACTAAGTCTGGATATGTGAACTCCGCCAGTTTGTCACACATGGGCGCCTCCTGGTATTCGTATGGAATTTCGGCGGTGTTTAYATGCGCAGCTATAACCGCATAACCATTTTGTTGCGCTTTCTCCAAAAGTTTTGGCAGGCTTTCATTGCCTTCTTGTAGCAAGCAAATGTAAGGCATGGTCTCTTATTTTATATTTTTACACCAATCTATTTAACATACACCGAAATTCTTTTTTTTAACAAGAAGCCACGTTTTGCCGGCTAGACGCCAGTCCATTCAAGAAAATTGCGGAAAATAACAACAATAAACATGCGGAATGAGAGAAAATGAGGGTGGGTGGCTAACGTTAGGGTTGCTAAGGCACTAATATTTTTAATCGAGAAAAAACCATTAGTTTTAAATAGTTAAATAAAACTCTAACTTTTCAATTCTTTTTATTTTACTAATTTAAAATAATTTTTAAACATTGGTCACGACTTGAATTTCGGACAAAACAAAATTTAAATTATTGTAAATGTTACTGACCACTTAGCTGTGGCTGCATATATTAGAAATAGCAACTTCATTCTGGGTATTGTTGCAGACAAAACTCCTACTTATCAATTATAGACACTGACATACCCAACTTATGTCCTGTCAATGTGTTCACGCCTGATACAAATCAGGTTTATTCTACAGATTTAAAAAAAGCTTTCATATTTAATTCAACAATTAATTTTTATTCAAAGTCATACCCCTTAACAGCTGTTTCCAATATACCAACTATCGTATTGTCACAGCTGATTAAACTGACAGTTCAATTAGAAAACAATTTAGTTTTTGCCAATCAGTGTKTTTTTTTTTTGTAAAAGATTGTTGATAAATTAGCTGGTGCTGATTAAAATTAAACTAAGGGTACAAGTAATGAAAGTGGGCGTTTTACGATGKCGTCCAATCGTGATATATTCTCGAAACATTTGCCAAACGTGAAATTGGCCACACGTATCGATGCCGAAGGACGCGAAGTTCAAGTGAGTAGTTAATTATTAATACCATCCATATGTCAATGGACTATAAAATGTTGATGTCATATTTTCTATGCAAAGGTGGAGAGACGTGAAGATGTAGACGCTACAGTAAAGGAGCTCGAAACATTTGATATGCTGGTTGCGGCTGGCTATTATCGGGCACGTATCAAAGGTTTATCGCCATTTGATAAAGTTGTCGGTGGTATGACCTGGTGCATCGAATGCTGTGATTACGATGTTGACGTGGATTTATTGTTCCACGAAAACTTAACCATAGGCCAAAAAATGTGAGTAGAGTGAAAATAACCATTGATGTATGAAAGTAAAAAGTTTTATRTAAAAATTGTGTTCTTAATATTTTTATTTACATTTTCAATAATGTTCACTTTATTTTCACAGCGCACTCGTTGAAAAAATTGTGTCTGTCTTGCCACAAATGAAGTGCCCTTTTCAGATAGAACCACATCAAATACAAGGACTCGAATTTCTTAGCATACATCCAGTTATACAATGGCTGGTTAAAAAATCAGTAAGCTTAAGCATATTTATTATTAGAGTTACCGAAAATTATTTATAAGTCTTGGTTTCCAGGTTGAAAACCGAGCTGAACGTGCACAGCGACTGAAAAAGTTTGCCATAGGGCAATTCCACAATCACTACCAATATAAAACGGATAAAGAGCAGCTAGCGAAGATACGAAATGCTTCAGCGCATATTAAACGCATTCAAGTATTGTTTTCGATGCATATGTAGATTTTATGTGGCTTTTATTAAAGTTTCCTTCTCAATAGGAACTCTATAATCCTGTACGGGCATATCAACGCAAGGATGCGGGAAATGAAGATGAGAAAACGCGTGTGCGCATGACTTTGCTAGAGTACGGTTGTGCGGCTGCGCCGAGTGCGACTAATGAAACCCGTTCTGGTGCGAACGATGAGGTATACAGCATTCGAAAATGAGCTTAACTCTAAAGCAAGAAAAATCACTGTTTATAGTTGTGTGTTCATTTTATACTACTTTGCTTCAACTGCTTTCTTAAAAATAATTATTTATTTATTTTTTGCATATTCAAAACTTTGACTGGCCGTGCATACTTTCGTTGATTATGCTATTGTGTGTTATGCATTTGTAAACTATTTATTTCGCAGCTTGATGTGCACAAATTGTTTAAAAATCTTTCCTTAACAAAAGAGGTAAAATTTTAATAAATAAAATATTAATATATATATAATAATAGTATCAAAGCGAATAACTGTCTTCCTCTCACCACTTCTAGAATATCACATGCTCGCCAACACATCGCCTGGATGCCAGCGAACGCAGCGCCATGCATAGGCACTACACTGAACTACAACAGGAAATGGAAACGGATGCCAAACAATTATCGGAACACAGTCAAATTAAAATGCTTGAAGCTTCGAAGGTCGCATTAGAACGTAATGTTCAAAGTAATCTCGAAGAGAATAAAGAAATAGAGGCGGAATTAGAAAAGCAAAAGCAACAACTGCAACAATACGTCGAACAAAAGCAGGAATTGCAAGCTGAAATCGAACAGTACAAAGCAATTGAAGCGAAAGCGGATCCAGAGTAAGTGAAATAATAAACAATATTTCATATCACAGCTGTAAAGTGATTTTCAAAATTGCAGGYTTGTTACTAAAGTGCACGATATGCTGAAGAAACATGACAAACTAAAAAAGGAGGAGGCGGAATTCAAAGAATTCTGTCGGCAAGATTTGGCCAATTTGCAAAAGGAGATTGAGTAAGTTTTTCTAACGGTCTCCGTTTTATTTCCAACCGTAGAAGCATTGCCTAATTTAAAGAGTTCTTTCATCAGTTGTAAAGACATTTGTGGCCTTGCTACCCCTGACGTACATTTTCCCGAGTCTAGCACAACATTAACGTGGCTTCCGTAAAGTGTACAGCGCCACCAAACTACTTAGCGTCATAAACGCTCAGAWAGTTTATGGCTTAAAACAAAAGCCTCGCTACGATTCTCGTTATACTTGTCAAAAGCTTTTAGTACACTCAAAAATACAACCCTACTTGAGGATATCGAATAATCCACGCGTCCTTCAGGCCTGAAGCGTTGGACCGTGAACTACCTGAGCGGTCGGCAGTCATCCGTGCTAATTCGACGTCCTCTCCTCGTTACTGTTTAACTTCTATATTTCATAACTCCCTCAACGATCAAAGRGAATTTCTTCGTACTCCGGTACATGTACGATATTGACGTCAGGCAATGAAGTTGAATGCAGGTGTTCGGAAGTAAACAGCTATCTCTCCAACCTTTCTCGCTTTTTTTTCATGTTAAAATTCCGACTGTTAATAACCCTAAAATTTTAGATATTACATTCTAAATCCTGTGCTCTAACACTCCTCATATGACCACGATAACTGTTAGTACCCCGACGAAATGCAGTTACTAGCCGGTAGATCGAGTTAAAAATATAAAGAAAAAATCTTGGTAACATACTCGGTCGTAATTTACGCTATACCGATATGGTCGTATGGATGTAGTGAAACACCTACGAAGAAGCTTCAGACGTGTCAAAATACTGCATTCTGGACTTTTACAATAAACCGCTTGAAGTCTCCGGTTGAACATTTGAGCAGCGGCTCCCGCATTCTTCTGGTAAAAGAACATAATGAACTCCACTCTATGCGGTTTCTTCTGGAATGCTTTTGCTGATACTATACTTGCATCTGTTCGAAGCGGAGCCACTTCCTAGAAACATCAAGAGATCTTTCCTTAATGTTTGATTACAATTTGCTTATAATTTTGAGATTTTCCGAACACTTCTGGGCAGGTTTTAATTAACCAGGTTTTTTTGGAAACATTTATCAGTTGTTATTGCAGTATCGAGAGAAYTCTGCCGTTGATAGTCCTTGGCCAAATAGAAACCCGAGTCCGTTCCGGTTACGTAGAACACGGGGGTGCGAACATTTAGCAGTATTTGTAGTTGGTATTTTTTTTGCGGTGCATCTCTTTTCTGAATTGATTCAAACTCAAGATTTTCCGAATAATTCCCTGAAAATTTCTTAATTAAACTAAAAATCTCTTCTGTGKCAAATTAGCGAACTGGAAGCTTTCAATGCACAAACACCGGAGGAACAAGAAGCTGCCATCTCAAAAGAGAAAGCACAAATACAGGAATTGAAGCTGCAGATAGCCAAAAAGAATCGWAGCATTGTGGTCATGCAGAGACGTTTAGATGCCATACCCGATCGCACGGAACTAACACAGTACCAGCGACGGTTTCATGAGCTACACAATGAAAGTAAGCGCCTAAAAAATTCGTAGAATGCCAAACTATATTTATTCTATTATTTAATTTCTACTTTCTTCTAGTGAGTGCCAAACACATAGAGACGAAGCAATACTACACGCTCTTCAACACGCTGAACGACAAGAAACGTTATCTCGAAAAGGAACTCTCACTACTCAATTCCATATGCGAAGCATACAACGAGGGCATGACCAGCGTGCAGGGCCGTGAAGAGTTCATCAAACARTTCGAAACSATTGTGACCGGTGTGAAACAAACCGAACAAAAGGTGCGTCAGAAGTACAACGAGGAATGTGCGCGGCGCGATGCGCTCAACGCGGAGCTACAAAGCCTACTCGAGCTGCAGCGWCAGTATGCGGTCGCTGTGAAACAGCTGACCAAGGAGTGCCAACGTTGCGAGCAATTGCAGCAGCATTTAAAGTCAATTCGGCAAAAGTAGTTTAGTATTTAGTGGTATACATATATTTATAGTAGTATGTACAGTACAATACAGTACAGTACAGTACAGTACAGTTAGCAATTTATAGCTGGAGGAAGAGAGATTTAGAGCGAAAGGCGTTTTTATGAGCAAAGACAAGAAAATATATTAAATTGCTTTCGAAGATTTTAATGAAACGATTTTGTTTTAGCTCAAAGTATGTACTCGCAATGTGTTGTTTATATACAATATGTACATACCTTGTTTAAGCATACACATATRTATTAGTGAAATTGTTTGTTTGCCAGTTCCAATATAAAAAACGTACGTATTATTATAAAGAATGTTTAGAAAGCGAGATTAAACGAAAATTTAATTCCATTTTGCTACATACTCGTGTATCAAAAACTGCTAATTTAGGAAAATTACTTAATTAATTTATAATTAAACACGTTTTTAATGAAACGACAATTGTATAATTATTTAAAATACGCAAATAAATCTTTTATGAAATTTAATTATAAATAAATTATATAAGAGGAATTCGTAATTTATTTCTAATAATTTAGGTCAGCGCAAAAGCATTCCTGGGAATTTTAATTATTTGCTTTAATTTTTACTACAGTCCTTATACAATATAAGCACTTATGTACGTATGTACATATGAGTACACCATATCGTACGAGTAATGCAATGTGTGTCGAAGACAATGTCTGTTAAACACATTACATCACTCATACTACATGGTGTACCGAAACGCATTGTATGATTATTGTTGCATGTATTAACAGAGAAACTTCAGCTTCTCCTCGGTTCACTCTGTTCTTCACATTATTTCGTTTACGCTGCTCTGTTGTGTTCACAGCGATGTTCTGCTTGTCAGCTCCGTTGCTGGGCTTCCACACAGCACTTTCAGTGCGTTCGTAAATGTCATTCCGTTGTATGCCGGACTTAGTGTTGTTGACCTTGATCATACGGTTTTGCGATTAAATGATATTTGAATATAAAATAATAAATTCGTTCGCGTTTAAGTGCGCGAGTGTTAGCGATTGTACTGTCTGAMAAATGTGAACTTTTACTTACTTTACAATTTTGAATGAATTCCAATYATATGTGACTTCTATACTTTAATTTGTAGACTATAATGACCTATTTTTACCAGAAAAAGATGCTATGTGCCTATCATTAAGAGATACTGACAGACATTTGATATATGGAACCGTGATAAGTTATCTTCCGATTTTTATTAAAGAAGTAGGGCTCAATGATGCCGCTGGCGCATAAACCACACCAAAACGTAATTTTATCGGGATACAATGGTGACTCATGGAGTACGTGCAAATTGCTGACTGACCAACAACGCGGGGAAAAAATATAGCGTCGTTTGCTAACCCTATCGGTCTACTTTTATTGCGTCTCTTTTGAAAAACCCGGTACTAAATTACAAATTAAAATTAAGGTAGAGAYGTATGACTTGAAGCAGGCAATAATTTATATTTAAAATAATTACAATTTAAATACCAATTATTAAATATGGAAAAAATCAAGTAAATTTTCAATAAATAAAACGATAAAAGATCATAATAATTCTATTGTACACAGGCAGTTTTTATTAGCCAAGGCCATCTCATCATAAAAATGTATTAAAAATCGGATCAATCTTGGCAGCACAAAGAAAGTCGTCTTCATTTACCAATAAATTTGAAAGAAGTTGAAATATAAAAATAATATTTATTATCACTGTGACCATTAGATATTTGAAAATCAGTTTCACCTACCTCTAGTTAAATTCAAGAACCAAATACAGTAATCTATAGCCATGTCTTCTACACCTTGTTCTCCGCCTGTATGGGAATCCCATATGCGTGCCAAAATCGTTGGCAATATCTTCAGCAAAAGCAAGAAGTAGAGCACGAGCTTCAACTTATATTGTTGCTTTGTCATATTCACTTTTTCAAGTTTTTCGCCACTCTGCACAGCGCTTGAGCTTAGCTAATAATGTAAGCTACTGAATATATCTTCCGTTAGCGTGAAAATATAGATCAACTTAAATGGCAGCGTATCCAATGCTTTGAAGTGGAACATTTTTAGTAATCGTTTGACTGTGTTTATATAATAGTAGTTTTGCCTCTTTACGAATTTRGAAACAGGTGTTTAAAATTATCGAGAAAACATATTTTAAAAAATTTTTCTCCATTGAAAGTTTTATCGCAAAGAATCCAGTTTTTGTGACTATCAGTATGAGTACTCTTTGGTACTTCTTTTTTGAGGATTATCTCTTTCAAATGTTAGCCGCGGCTACGTCTCAGATGGTGCATTCGTTGATTTCAATTTTCGATGATTCGTTCGGACATTTCGACTAGTAATTGACGAATGACATGTGTCATGTTTTGCTCTTATGCCTGAATCGAAGTGGGATTGTGCGCATAGACTTTACACTTTACATATCTCTATAAGAAGAAGTCTAACGGTGGGTTACCACAAGATTTTGGTGACTAATCGATTTTGATTGATGTGATTTGTGGAAAGTGTTGGCCTCTTTTTGAAGCAAAATATAGCCGAGTTCACGAGCTTCAATTTCGGGCATCAAATAGTCGGTTATCAAGGCGCGATAACGGTAGCCATTGATGGTTACTTTCTTAACGGCATCATGTTTGAAGATATCAGCTAAAAATCATACATTGAAGAACTTTCTGATAATCCTCGAGAAGGGAAAAGTGGYAACCCCGCAAAACACAGAATATACAGCAAGAAAAGTAGCAATATCGCTTTTGTCGTTTTAAAGTATTTTTCTAAAATAAATCTACTTAATATAAGCGAATTGTTAGAAAGTAGTGAATTTCCAATTTGGTGTATTTCCCTGCTGCTTGCCACTGCTAGTAACTGTGTCACTTTAGATTTGATCCGGGTATTTTTCTTACAAGTCAAATATCGGTTAATTTACTAGTTACCATAGTTACTTAAGAACGTTGTCAAATATTTTTTTAAAGTTTTAAGATTTTCATATATATTAAATTGACAAATTTAACTGAAACYCTTRTTTTGGYRTTTGGCAATATATATTCYTGTTTGGAGAGCATGTGCTCAAAASTAAACGGCTATCTCTCCGAACTTTCTCGCTTCCTTGCTGCATGGAACCTAACACTCTCTCTCTCACTAAATCTACAGCGACCCTATTCACAAACTGGATGAAGGAGTACAGAAGGAAAGAGTGCTTGACTTTAATATTGCAGCCAATGTCGTTAAAATTCAAACTGTCAATAATCTTAAGATTGTAGGTGTGACCCTCGACAGCCTGTGCTCCTTCACTCCTCACACGATCGCAATTAAAGGCAAATTACAGGGCCGCAATAAAATCCTCAAGTCRCCAGTCGKCAGCACATGGAGAAAAGACAAGGAAACATCGTTGGYAACATGCAAGGCAATCGGACAGACGGTCCATGCACCTCGCAAACAAATTGAAAACATACTTCAAGTCACTCACACGCACGTACATTACATGTGTATRTTTTCGTTTGAACTGGACTTGATTACGAGTGGCGAGCAGACGGTTCTTGCGGCTTCCCTTTGTTTTGCCGCCTGCATTTTGCTGGTCCACAGTGCATGCACACGTCAGTGAGATGGRCAAACAAGTGGGTAGATAAACAGACAGACGAATGGATAGGCGAGCATAAATGAACATGCGAAGCGACATGAACTATGTGAGTTGGTAATAATGCAAATTGTTGATTAAAGTCCAGAGGTCACTTAAATAAACGCAAAAAAAAAAAAATTACAACAAAATATATGCATTTTAATTCAATAACAACAGCGACCGTTTTCGCCAGCTGCCATGAAATAATGCCACAAAAAATGGCGAGTTTTGCACTATTTCTGGATATTTTTTTTTTGTTTTTTTGTTTTTTAACAACTCAGATTCATGCTCATTTAAAATTTAATTGTTGAATTACGTAATAAATTCAAGTTATCACCGCTAATGACCTTATGGTGATTTACTAACGCAGTCACGTGCTTGTATTTATGCGTAATGCAAATAAAAATGATTTGAGATTACAGTATTTTCGCTTTTTACTCTATATATTAGCAGTGCATCCATATGGTTGCATTTTAATTTACAGTTAAAATTTAAGTTGTATTTTAATGTACATTCTTTAAGTTTAAATATTTTATTAAATTAGAGTTGTTGCGCGCTAACAATATTAGTCATTAAAATCTTTAAATAAAATARAAATCACCCCTAAACCCAAATAAACTGCTCGCATTTTAATGGAAATTGTTTTTGATTACATTATAAAAGGTTACGCCTACGCCCCACCATCTAGATAGCACCATGCAGTTTGACGGGGCGTATGAGTAACAATTGAAATGAGAATATCAATAGACCGCTTAAGTCTTCATATTATTTTTGCAATCAGATATATCTCTTTAAATTAGAGCAAGGTTTAGGAATTTAGATACCAAAAGGACATATAAACTAAAGCATTTCGAGCGTCAGTGTGGTATTGTTATTGTAGCACCAGAAAACATATTCCAGGTATTGTAGAGAAATGCCGCTGAGCTGGCTGAGAGGCTTGGGTTGGGAAAATTCAGGTTCTTTCCGACTACGTACACCCGACCTTCGCAAGAGTCATGGGAACAGATATTATGACCATCTTATTAGAGCGTCCTCCTTGGCATTGTGTGATAAAATGGGTAAAAATGTTTAAAAAAATTTTATTTATTGGTTTYAGAAATCACTTTCCATCAAACGGCTTCTAACAGCTGAATATTTCTATGCCGTACTTGTTAAGAAGTCGTTTTCTAAAGATTCTCTCTTAAGGGGGGAGCCTGCTTTAGAGGCTCAAAAAAATCGATATTTTTGAGGATTTTTTTTTAAGAGGGAAAGAATCAATTTATTAAAGCTAAATTTCTACAGTTTATAGTTAAACAATTAGAAATCATTCTCAAATTTTTTGGATACGAAATCTTTGATATTCTCTCTTTGAGAAGCAATTGGCCGATGCATCTCGTATGTGCATTTGCCGAACGGCGGGAAGATTGCAGGTCGCAATTTCTATCGGAAACAAAAATTTCAAAGAGATACATATTTTTTAATAATTTATCTTCTCGTAAAACTAAAAAAATTCCAAAAAAGGTGTAAAATTTTACAAATGTTTTAAAAATTGAAAAGAGTGGTTTTTGACCAA